GTGTGGTTTTTTTTTTTGTCTCTTTTCGGTAGGATTTAAACGAGCGGGAGAAAAGCTTCACGGGTGGGAATAACCTCGGACGTGGGCAAGTGCGCTAACGATAGGTGCGCAGCGCGGCCGCTCGCTGAGGCAGCAGCGCGTGAGCCGATGCGCTGTGACCACCGAGCGAAGCCCCTGCTTGTGAGGACTCATCTTCTCCTGGGGTGGGGAGGGACAGAGAGCTGCCCCTTGGAAAGGAACAGGCCAAAAGATCCTGGTGGGCCACGGCGGGATTTTCTCTTGATCACCGGCCAAATGTTGCGAGACGTTAAACGTGATTGGGAGGACCCTGCCCGTCTCTGTATTTGGCCAGAAACTTTTCCCAGTGTCTGGTCAGAACGAGGCATTGCGTTTTGATAACGTTTATTGAGTTTTGAAAGTCACCAGGTCGTGAGCAAAGGTGTCTCTTTGCCACGGTTGATTAGACTGTGCCACCAGTTTGGTTTTGTGACGTGCCGTTTGTCCTCTTGCCCTCTCCGTCGGTCTTACTGGTTAGGCGAGGGTAGGCCCTGCTGGTAAATCTCACGGCTTGTATTTAAGCGTGAGGACAAAGCTCTTGATAATTCTCCTGCTAAATACACAGACGGGCTGGAGAAAGTGGCTCGGGAGCCGAAGGTTGTAACCTAGAAATATCGGTTGTTTATTTTTGTTTAAACACCCCGTGTTGGGCCTGCGCCAGCAGAGCACATCTGGCAGTGAATGCACCGAACTGTGGCAGGGAGTGGGTAACTGCTTCTGTTGATTCAGGTCTAGTTAAGTGCTGGTTAATGAGCTTGTTTGGGGGTCCAAGTTCATTTGGTTTCACTTACTGTTTGCAGACTGAGCTACTGGAGGTGCCGTAGCATTTGCTGCAAAAGGAGAGATTCAGGCAGCCTGAGAAACAACAAACTTTGACATTTGTGCTGTTCCAGCTGCAGAGGAATTTGCTGATCCCTGCGTTCAGAGCTGTCTGTAAGCACGCAGGAAAAAAACCCTGCCCTTAAATAAGAGAGTTGAGAGGAGTAAGTTGCTCACTGCTGGAGTGCGGCTACTGTAATAATTTACCCCAGTGGTACTGGTGGGAGGTTAAACAGTAAGGGGATGTTTCAGAGGCAGAGGCAATTGATCTGATTTCCTGTGTTTGGCACGGGACTCCCGTGCACCAGGAGCAGCTTTGAGAAGAATTTGGATGGTGTAGAAATGATCTTGAAATCAAGCGTTGTGTAAATTGCGTAGACCCAGTTGTTTCACAATCACGAATCTAGAGAGTCCTGCGCAGGAGAGGGAGCAGCAGCTTCTCGGAGTCTGTTCCTGGGTCTTGGTGCTTGCTGCTTCCTTATCTTGCTGGGCAGGCAGAGGCAGCGTTTGGTGGATCGCTGGCGTTGCCGCCTTGTGCTTGGGCCTTATCGAGTTTTTCTGCGGTGGCTGGAGGAGCAATCCCAGATGTCTTATCGGAGCAAACCCACGTGGCTGGCATCCTCTCCTCTTTTGGGGAATCCATTGACTTTGTTTAAGGGCCTGTGCCAATTCGAACGCAGCAGTAGTAAAGGGAAGTAGCATTATTTTTAGAAGCTCTTAAATTTCTTCCATGCTGAGCCTGACTTTGCCAGCGCGGGGTTTTGAGCGGTTGCGTTTGCCCTCGGTGGCTGTTCCGCCTCAGCCGTGGTCGGGGTTCGGTCACTTCCTCTTCTGACTCGGCAGGGCTGCATGGTGCTGCTACTTCTCAAGCTCTGAGAAGCGAAGTGAACCCTTTCAGGTTTCCAAGCCTTCGGGACTGCTGCTCACTAGGAGAGTACGGCTGCGGTGTGTAAATTCTCCACGGACACCAGGAATTGTGAGGAAAAGCGACTGCCACAAACTCCTGCTTCTGCGCGCACGGGCTGTTTTTTCCAGCATGTTCAGTCTCCAGTGCACAAGGCTGCAGGGGTGGCAGCAGCTTTCCGTGACGAGCGTTGGGCGTGGGAGTGTAGAATTCTGGCATTGTGTGTTGCAGAATGACCCTCTTGTGTCTCCTTGACCCCTGCGTGGTGTGAACCCCAGACTACGCTGGTAACAGCTTTCCATTCAGCCCTTCCTAAGCGACACGCTGTGATTCGCCCCTGATGCGGTTCCCTCCTTGTTTCTTTCATTCGGACCGTTTGGCCCCTTGAGGGGGGCGGGGAAAGGCCGCCAAAACACACAGCTATTTAAAAACTGGTGTTTCAGTGCCGCTCTTCTGGGAAAGCTGGTGGTTTTGCTTTCACTTCACCCAGAACTACATCGGATGTGTACTCATGCTTTGTCTATCCTGGGGATTAGTGAGTGTTATCCAAATCTTTTTTAAAGTCAAGTTCCAGACAGGCTCAAGCTTAACAATTTGCCTCGCTGATCTGGTGAAGGCAAATGTCAATGGTCTGGGGTCTCTTTGGCTCCGTAATGGTGGCATGCGTTTGGGACGATGGGCCGACGATGTCCCATCCACCCTGTCACAGCAAAGGTGCTCTTTGCAGCTTTTGTGTGCTGCTTTCTTTTCTCATTCAGATTTCTTCCCCTCTAGGACTATATCTGCCCACGGTGTGAATCTGGTTTTATTGAAGAACTTCCCGAAGAGCCAAGGTAATGTGCTGCCCCAAAGGCTGTTGCTGGAATGAACTCAGTCCGCTTTCCTCTTTTCCTAGTTGAAAGGCAATGTTGGATGCTAAATACACAATTTTTACTACTTCTGCCCAATATTTGGCTCATCTTCCCTCACTATGGGTAGAGCGTGCACAGTTTGCATATACAGGTAAATCAGCCATGGGAATGCTGAGCAGCGTACGCTGCTGGTAGAGGGTGGGGGAGGAATGGGCTGGTTTAAAACAAACACAAACGTGGTAGAGAGGCTTTCCCCACGGCTTGTGTAGCTCTGAACTGGTTTGAGTCATCAGGGTAGAGACAACCCCGTGAGAGAGGGACCTGCGGAATGGAGGGGGTATCTGTGCCTCAGTGTATCGTTTAATAACTTTGTTTGGAGTATGAACACGAAACATTTTGAGTAAGACTTTGGACTCTGCACTGGAGCAGCTGACATCTGTGTTCACGTGCTTTGCTGCTGACTCAGTAGTGGGGCTGCTCTCTGGCAGTGTCAGAGTGGGCAAGAGGAGGAGAAATGTCTTAAAATGTTTCAGACACGTTTGCCAGACCTTGGCTGTGACTGGCAGCGTGCTGGCAGGCATTGGGAGCAAGTGCATGCTGAGCTGCATGGGGGGGTGCCAGCTGCCTGTCGCTGCCTGCTGAGAGGGGTTGTCTTCACAGACTGGGGTTTCTCTACGGACAAGGTGACGTTTGCTCCGACTGCACCAACCTTAAGGCTGAAAATCAATCCTGGCTAATCTGAACTGTATTGGTGATTTTTCTGTGACCTTGGGAGGGTCGCATTGCCGCTGAACCTCAGTTTTTCATTACCAGGAATGTCAAAAGCATGGACCTGGATGCTGAGCGTTACCGCAGCTCTCTAAAAGCAGAAGCCTAACAGCACTAAGAGTTTTCCTAATAATCTGTCCCATTTGGTCACATGCCTCTGCAATAGAGAAGTTCCTTTGATTCAAGATTAGACTTAAGCGCGTTTGGGTCCTAGTGATCAGGGTTTGTACCTTAAGTCTTCTCTTTCTGGCGCTCTGGAGGATTAGCTGACTTGTTTGAGGTGGATTGTGCAGGGAATCCTTGCTTGATGTGGTTCAGTCACTCCTCTGTAGCTTCATGAAGCCAGAATCTAAAGAGAGATGGGTGAAGATGTGGGAAAATGAAGGTTGCAGGGAGGGAAAAATGAAAATTGATATGAACAACTAGAAAAACAGCAGCTGAGGGCAGACCCATGTCTGTGCAGAGCTGACCCTGCCCCGTGGCGGAAGGGAAGGTGAGCAGACCTCTGAGGTCTCCTTGGGCTCTGGCTCGGCACAAAAATGAGTCGGTTGCTTCCTGTGTGCCGTCACTGTGCAGCCGTGGTGCCTGCTTTTCCTGTCAAACCCTTGTCCCTCGCTCCCCTCTGCTGGGAAGATCTTTTCGTGGCCCCCTTCTGATGCTCACCAGTGCTCTTCGTTCTTCACAGGAATGCTGACAATGAGACCAGCTCCTCTACGTCAACCGGTGATCAGAGCAGGCATCCCTTTGAGGTGAGAAAGTCCTCTCTGTCTCTTCCAACGCTTTCTGTTTTGCCACTGAATTGAGGTATTTTTCCATTAGTACATTGTTTAAATGTTCCCCGGGTTATGACATAATTTAGGAAAGGAGGTATTAATACCCTCCACATGCAGCTCCCGAAATCTCTGCATGTTGTATTTTTACTGCTTGTTTTTAATAGGACCATCGCTCGTAGCTGGTTCTTGTTGCGAGGGGGCTAAGCTGGGATTTAGTGAGCTGTCTGGGTGTGTTGCTATGCAGTAGCCTCAGCCTGAAAGGCAGCAGTGAGTGCAGCAGCTGAGGAGAAACCTGGGAAGCTGTAGTTATTTCTTGCCTTCACATGCAGTTTCAGTCTGTGTTTGTTCCTCACTAAGCTGCCCCTGAGAGCTCACTGACCCACTGGTGTCAGCCACGGCCTGCGGGTTGCTGGGGACCTGAAGAGACTAGACTTTGTCGGGAGGCTGGTGGAATACCAGGCGTGACAGCGAAGAGCTGTCTCCCTCCTCGTTACAATCTGTTCCCTGAATTCTCTCCCTCCCAGAACGTGGATCAGCACTTATTCACCTTGCCGCAGGGCTATGGCCAATTTGCCTTCGGGATTTTTGACGACAGCTTTGAGTTTCCGTTCGGGTCCAATGTGCAGTCAGAAGACAACAGGGATTCCGAGAACCGGAGGGAGCGAGAGCATCAGTCTCGGCATCGATACGGTGCGCGGCAGCCCCGAGCCCGTCTCGCCACACGCCGTGCCGCTGGCAGGCACGAGGGAGTTCCCACGCTAGAAGGGTGAGAACATCTGCCAGGTTCCTGTTATTTTTCACCGATGAGAGTTAGCTGAAAATCAGCCTGTCCTGCACTCCCATTGGTTTGAGGAACAGTCTCCTAAAGAGTGCTCCTGAGCACAGCACGGTTCTGTAGGTGCCCAGCTATGGTGCCCCTATGAACTTGGGCTACTGGATTCAGCTGGGTCTGCGGCTGTTGGCAAGCTCTTGCCCAGGTTTATGGGGGCCATTTCACCTGAGCACAGTGGCATGGGCTGCAGAGCAGCTGGGAGTTTCAGCCGTTAAACCTGCAGTGAGAAAGCATTGCCTGGTCATTACCAGGTATTACTGAAACGTTGTCCTCGGCGTGAGGGGAAATGAGAGAGAACACTGGGCAGCATGACTGGTGTTAATCTTTAACTGCATCCTGCAGAGCCGCTTGCCATTGCTGTCAGAAATTACCCCCTTACAAATAAAATATTGAAACGCGACTTTACCAATGAATAATCACTTCATGGCATGCAATTGCCACGGGGTGTTTTTCCTTTTCCCTCTGATGTGACAGTGTTTGGCCACTCCTTCCTTGTCCTGTTTCTGGGCTGGGAGTTAGTAGACGCCAATTCTGACATAATCCTGGTTTTCTTGTCTTTCAGAATTATCCAGCAGCTGGTCAATGGAATTATTGCACCTACAACAATACCAAACCTAGGACTAGGTCCTTGGTGAGTTGGAAGCTGTAACTGCTCTTTCTGAGGGCGTTCTTGTTGGTACTCCCAGACAAATTTAGTTCTTGTCCTTATTCTTAAAGGGGAGTCTTGCATTCAAATCCGATGGACTACGCCTGGGGTGCCAACGGCTTGGATGCGATCATTACACAGGTAAAGTTGGCATCGTACTGGTGTCTCCCACCTCTCGTGCAGCGCTGAAAAATTGCCAGCAGCTGATTGCTGCAGGGGGCAAACCACCGAGGGTGCAGAAACAGGAGGCAAGGCCCACAGCGCAGGCGCCACAGGGTTCAAGGGCCCTGGTTCAGTAAATGAACAGATTCTGCGTGCTGCTGGGCTCACGTCTGCCTTCTGCGGCCTATTGTTTTTTCAGTTACTAAATCAGTTTGAAAACACTGGACCGCCGCCAGCAGACAAAGAAAAGATCCAGGCCCTCCCCACCATACAGATCGCACAGGAACACGTAGGTATGTAGAGCTCCTCCAGGGAATCGTCCACAAAGAACTCCATGAAAGTTCCGTTTAGCGTTTTCTTGGGGTTAATTTTTGTCTGCTAGTGCCTTCAAGGCCCAAAGCATTTCAAAGTGGGGGAGAGAGCTGAAGTATGGCTCTGTTATACTCTATAAAAAAAGAGCAGCATAGCCTGGTTGGATTTGCCCTGGGAGCAAACTGTTCTGAAAAGTTCTGTGTGGATAGAGATGAAAAAGCAGAGGGGAAGGGAACAATGAAGCGAAGCCAGGGCAGCGGGAGGTGGAGCGATGGCGGTAGGAACTGCAGAGCAGCAAGCTTTCCCCTCCACAGGGGTGGAGCGGTGGTGGGGGGAAGGGAGGAGGTGAGGGGATCCTGGGTCAGGTGCTTCAAGGGTCGTTCCCTCCCTTATTGCTTGGCTGTGTTCTGCTTTCCCTTTCCAACACAGACTCTGGGTTAGAGTGTCCTGTGTGTAAAGAAGACTACACGGTCGGTGAAAATGTCCGACAGTTACCTTGCAATCACCTCTTCCACAACAGCTGTATAGTCCCTTGGCTGGAACAGGTTGGTGCCGTCGTGGGGGGGGACGTGGGGTTTGTAGCACTTGGGTGTTCTTTCTGGGGGTACCGTTCTCCTCGGTAAATATTTTAGCACCCCTGTGATGAGGCCTGAGCGCGAGCAGCCTTTGATCTGAGGAAGGAGCGTCATTCTAGCCTTTTCCTCGAGTGCTGCTCCTGTATCGTGTTTCTAATCCTGTTTCCCGTATTTCTTGTTTTGTTTTTGTCTGCTCTCCAAAGCATGACACGTGTCCCGTGTGCCGGAAAAGCTTAAGTGGACAAAACACTGCCACAAACCCCCCAGGACTCACGGGGATGAACTTCTCATCATCCTCCTCCTCCTCTTCCTCCAGCTCACCAAGTAACGAAAACTCATCGAACAACTCCTGAATCTTAATCCAACCCTCTATCCCTGGGGCCCTCTCCATTGTCCTCCCCCCTCCCCAGCCAAGGAAAGGGGCTTCCAGAGCAGGGTGAGGGGAGGGTAGTGAGGGGGGAGCAGAGCCCCCAGAATTCCCTCTTGAGTTCTGAAGACACAGAGACTCTGGGTCCTTCAGAGACGAGAAGCCTCAGGTTCTGTGATGGGGGGGAAAGAGCTCTGTATTAATAAAAACACCCGTTTGCCACGTGGACTTGTAACTATTGCAGTGAGAGGCCGCTGCGCCCCGCGGGTGGGGAACCCGAGGTGCTGGGCTAGTGGCTGTGGTTCCGAGCAGAAAGGTTGTTTGTATGGTTGTGAATTTGAGATTCCTTTCTTTATCTCTTTTGCTCCTCCTCCCCCCCTGGATGCTCTCTCTTCTGCTTTGGAGGTTGAAGCCTTTCAAACGGAAGCGTAGCGATGCTGCCTCCCTCCCTGACCTCCAGCTGGGGAGGGCCGATAGCGCTCACTGAAAAAATGAACTCAAGACAGACCCCGTGACCCTTCCCTGCCCGTCTCAAGTCCCCTTTATTTTTCTTTATAACCTCCCCCTTCTGATACTCAACACTGAAAGGGTTTTTATAATTTTAAATTATTACTGCTGTTAAATAAATGGACGTTTCAGCTCAACGAGACGTTATGCATGATTTTGAGGAAAAGGACAGGGTAAGCCCTCCGGAGGCTGCTGCGTGGAGCTGCCCTGCTTCACTGCGAGGCCCCCGGGCTTGTCCGAGCCCTCCTGCGTGCCGAGCCCAGGCCTGCTCTCAGCTCCGGGCACCAGACTCCATCGTGACCAGCACCCCTACGCGCCCTGCCAGCCTGCCGATCGCAGAGTGGTTGGCTGCAGGGCTGCAGCTGAAAGCATCCCGGCCTGGTCTTTTGTATTTTTTACACCTTCTCCCTGTTGCAGTCTGGCCCTTCTCAGCCTGAGCGGACTTTTCCACTGTGTCAACATCAGGACTGGGCGTGCATCAGAGGAAGGACCAGCCAAATATCATTGTGATTGAATAATATACAGGAAAAACAACATTTTGGAGAAAAATGTATTTCAAAACTACTTAAAATACAGCTGATTAAAAAAGGAGAGAGAGGGAGAGAGAGAGACAAATCTCCAGGTGTGTTGTGACTTGGTTTCTGTGACAGAGCTGGAGCTTAGAGAATGAGAAGAATGTGGCTGGA